GCTTATACATTTCTTCAATAGTTGAACACGCCGTTATAATTCATTACTAACACAAAGTGATGTCAATAAAACTCATACAACCATCAAACTGTTTTTTTTTTCGTAATGATACTACTACTAAATGTAAACTGCCGGGGAAAAGAAAGTATACACCTATGTTTGATGGTGGCTAAAAATGATACTAACAAGAAATGATTATCGTATGGTGATGTATTGATTCGGGTATCATGGTTCTGTTTTCGACCCTAAGTTTGCAGAGTTTCGGCCACTGTTTGGTAACATTTTTAATGTGTTGGTCAAATCCAAATTTGAAGTGTATACTTTATTGTGCCCGGCAGTTTGGAAACTGCTATAATACTGAACTCCGATATTTCCGTTGTTTCCTATATGAATAAAACATAAGAGAATAAAAGCGACAAAACCCTTTCCAAAGTCGAGAGTCAACCTCTTCGGTTTATATTAAAACAGAGAAATTAGCCTGTAAGCAAGTTGACTGATATTTAGAGATAATCCTACGAACAACAAGGATAAACGGGTTTTCTGTCCCTCGGGAATAAAAGGTTGAGCATTCCTCGACAAGAAAAGGAACTTATAAATTGATTGATTTGGAGCACATAATCACCCATAATCTTTATATTACCAATAGTATTTTTTGGTGAGAAAATGTAGACAAATGTAGGACTATTGTTGGAAACGACGTCACTAAAATCGTCATCTTCAATTATTTGCGACAATGCGCTCATATCTCCTTACGTTCCTGTGGTCATAACATAAATATGCTGTCTTCACAAAAAAATTGACAACAATGGTTGGTTGGTTTGTTGTTTAACGCCGCCCTCAGCAATATTCAAGCTGTATGCCGATGGTCTGTAAATAATCGAGTCTGGACCAGACAATCCAGTGATTAATATCATGAACATCGATCCACACAATTGGGATCGATGACATGCATCAACCAGCAAGCCTGACCACCCGATTCCGTTAGTCGCAGTTTTACAAGCATGGGTTATTGAAGACCTATTCTACCCCGGATCTTCACGGGTCGATAACAAGAATTCTGAAATCGTCTTGATTATTATCCTTGGGTGAGGTTTACCGTCGCGTCCAAGATTATTGCACTTATAAAGCGACGTGCATGTACGTGTATGTGTTTGTGTGGCTGCTTGTATTAGTCCGGACTGATGCCGATTTATAGTGCTAGCTCACTGAGGTACCATGCCGCAGTTGAACATTAATACCCCAGTCAGACACAGTATACTGACTCCGATCCGACCAGCCCCTTAATGCCGAGCGCCAGACAGGGTAACAACAAGTACCATCTTTTAACGTCTTTTGCTATGACGCGGCCGGGGATCGAACCCCGGACCTTACGCTCTCCGGGCGGACGCTCTACCACTGGACCACGGAGGCGGTCTATTATCCTTGGTGTATAAGCATAGACTCACACTCTTGGGTTTCACCAAGGTTTTAAAGGGGTACGGGTGACCAAGTCGTTGATAGCGTCTTCAGTCATTCCGCTGTCGTGGATTTTTCCAAAGCGGTTAACGTCTCCGACCTTCGTTCGTTAAGAAAACACGGTGTGTGGGAACTGAAGTTCTGTTACAACATTCCTTAATCCCAACAAACTCACACACACACACACACTTACCAATAGTGACTTCCCAGATGCTAATTTGAACACGTTGATGATGATGTTGACGCCGATTGATTTGCCTTCGAATTTGAGCTGAAGTGATTCGGCATTGAACGCTGATGGTATCCGTATTGACGCCGTCTTAAAATGGCGTCGTGCACCATTGTGTTACGTTGCGAAAAAGATGCAATTCGCCTCCGTTCATCACTATCTGGTAATAAAGAAATTGATTTAATGTCTAAAGTGCAGTGTTTTAGTTGATGACAATAAAATAGAAATCTTTTAATGCAATCTTTGTATATGTTTGCTGTTTACGCATAAAGTTTAAACATATACTCGACAGTCAAGTTTCTGTTCATATTTCACAAACAGTAGAACCCTAAAATATAATTCCTGATTATAACGTACATGTATCAACGTTACGTGACGTCTATTAGTATTCATACAGACGTACCCTCCCGTATCTGTCCCCTGCGCGTTATTTTCTGGCATTAACGTTTTATATTTTCAGGAGTAATGTGGTGTGGACAAGGTATATTTTGTTCTATACTCAACAACAAAAGTTCCCGTGACACCAATTTGTTCAGTGTATTTTTCAAACAAGTAAAGTTTGGTTTACAATATCGTTGTACATATATTGAATCAAGTCACAAACACGCAACTGCTACAGAAGAGCATGCAAAAATTGACTTTTATGCAAGCCCTATGTATTTTTCACTAATCAAGAATGGGTATAAAAACATGTGCTTTAACGGGATTCCATATGTATTGTTTAGCATCGTGCTGACAACAACCACTCAGAAAAACAACAAAATTACACAAATTTTCAACATTACGAAATGCCATGCCTGTCCGAAAATGAGCGTCTGCGAGCTTGTGGTATGCTTGAAACAGGATCGAGTCAACGTGATGTTGCAAGACAATTTAACGTCCACAGAAACAGCATTTGGTGTTTATGGCAACGTTGGCAACAGACGAATGCAGTCAGAGACCATCCTCGGAGTAGCAGGCCACACCAAACCAATAATCGACAAGACAACTGGATTCGAACAACACACTTAAGAAATCGAAGCATCCCTGGCCTTCAACGAAGATCTTCACAAACCGTACGTCGTCGCCTCAGATGTGCAGGGATTGTCGCAATCCCGCTAGACGCTCCATTTTGACAGGAAACCACCATCAAGCACGTCCACAGTGGTGTAGACAGCGTCTACGCTGGACGGCCATGCAATAGGGACAGGTTCTATTCACTGACGAGTCTCGTTTTCACCTCAGCCACGGCGATGGACGGCTTCGAGTGTACCGACGTCGAGATGAACGTTACGTCAATCATTGGGACATGGAAGAAGATCGGTTCGGGGGCGGCAGCGTTATGGTATGGGTTGGGATTACAGCAAGACAGAGGACCCGTTTGATAGTGGTAGAGGGAAATCTCAATGGATAGCGGTACCGCGACGAGATCATCGGCCCTTTTGTTCTACCGTTTTTAAATCGTCGTGGCCGAGGCATTACCTTTCAACATGACAACGCCCGGCCTTATATTACTCGATTTGTTCAGGATTCTCTTCAACGAAACAACGTGAATGTTATCACCTGGCCGGCTCGCTCCCCTGATCTCTCACCAATCGAGCACATGTGGGATGAGATGGACAGGCGCCTTCGACGTCAACCACGTGTTCCACAGACACTACAGGAACTTCGAAACATGCTCCAACAGATATGGACAGATATCCCAAAGGGCTTTGTGCGACGCCTGGTCCATTCCATGAGACGAAGATGTGTTGCTTGCATCGCAACCAGAGGTGGACACAGACGCTATTGATTTGTTAATTGACATTTTGGCATGTTCACCTTTCTTATGAAATCACGCATTTTCTGAAGTCAGTATGGCATATTTAACTATTTGAACACTTACAGGTGTCTTTTATCTGTTGCAAACCGAAATTGTTTCAGGGACTTTTGTTGTTCAGTATATTTGACTAGAATTATTTGTATAAAAGTTGCTAATTTTGACAGCCTTTAGGGTTCTCTGCCCATGGCCTACAGGCACCTATTTGACCCCACCTCTGAAAATCACATATTTGATTTGATACATGACAATAACCTATTTGACTTGATAGATTACAATTTAAGATTTGATGTTAATGCGATGTCACATCTTATCGCATTCAATTACTGTGTGTGGGCACGGGTGGCCCAGTCGTCTGAGGCGCCGCGATTCGCTGTGCAGAGTTGTGTCCCTTGGGCACACCAGGAACCTATGATTGTGGGTTTGAATCCCGGTTCCCCTCGATTATGTTTCTAGGTTTGTCAGTACCATGCCCGTTCTCGTGGGTTTCACCGAAGTGGTAAACGTCTGAGACCTTCATCACTTCGGGCTTTCCTCCCACATTAAGCTGACACGCTGCGATATAGTAACTAGAATACTGTTAAAAGCGGCGTTTAACCCACTCATTTACAGTGCAGGTACACGATTATATTCCAAGCTTATGTGTGTATATATACTGTACAAAGAAGTTATGATCATTAATAATGTGTAATTAAATTGTATGTTCAGTTTTCACAACGAAAACATATCCCCAAAATATTCATGATCAGGTCATGATTGGGTCAGTGTAAACAAATTTTCTTTGATAAAGGACTTCTATCGTATCTTATCATCTTTGTACAGATGCACTTCTACAGAACATAAGAAACTAACCCTTATCCCGTGTAATAATGGCAGAAGTAGAGCTTGCTGCAGCGCCAACACTGTGGAAGCCATACAACACCGATCAAGCGGCTACATTTAGGTTCTAATTACACCATTATCAACAACAGGATATGCCTAATATGTCTATTTTATACCATTGGGTAAAAGAACCAGGCTGACAGTCAGTAAATTGGAATAAACGCCGCTTTGAAAATATTATCTCACTTATCAACAGCGCTTCAGCTTAAAGTGGGAGCAGAGGTCAAACTGATGTGGCGAAATACTAGAACACCGGTACGCTGTTGACAAACCAAATAACATAGTTGGCCTAATTATAAATCGAACATTCGAGTCCTGGCATACCTAAGGGAGGCAACTCAACATCCGTTGACTTGTTTGATTTGTTTGTTGTTTAACGCCGCATTCATCACTATTCAAACTCTGTGACGGTACATCGAGACGGGCTCTGACAAACCAGTGAGTGATATTATGAGCACGATGGGTTTGATAACACGCACTAAATCAAGCATGACCCTGATAACTTTTTCCATTTAAGTCGCTCTAACCACAAGCATATTCTGTTGCTGACCTATATGCTCCGTCGGAATCGGCAAGGCGTCTGTTATGTTAAATGAGCCGGTACGTGAGTCATATTGCGCGCTGATGTATGCAGTGTCATGTCATGGCTGTGAACACATAACATACAGATACATTTGGAGTCAACAGGATGTCACAACTCATCACGTAAGCTCCCTTGCCTCGGGGAGCTGCACACAACCTACATTTATTTTGTAATACTTTTTCCCACCGAGTCTAATGGATTTCATTTATGGCAAAAAATCAAACTAATTAAGGGGGGAAACCGTAATGATTATAATGCCCGACTGATGATACTTTCCAGAGATCACCTGATCGGTACGACGAACCTCAACTGAAACTTTTCAATAGACAAACCCGATTAGTCCGGATGATTTTGTTTTGTATTTCGGTCATTATGGTGTTTACCGTTCATATAACACCGTCATCATCTTGCTTGTCACAACCACTTTATCACTGGATATGAATACATATAATCTTGTGTGTCCTAACAACTCGTGTTGATATATTTGATACCAAGAGAAACTCGATGAGATTATATGTATAATAAAAAGAATATTGGTATAAAAGAATATTTTGAAGACACTTTTAACGACATCTGCATCACCATTATTCTCTTTATTGTGGGCTCCTTCACTGGTACTTTAGTGACCCTGGCATTTCGAACAAAAGTAATAGAGCAGATGCAACCATATCGTGTCATCTCTGAAACTGGCTAACAGCAGCTGGATATAAGGCTGTTACATTCAATAGCAGTACCAGGATTCGATGATCGTGGTTTCGAATACCAGTTTCACCCTTATCCCTGGTACAATTCCACGAATGCTGATAAGATCCTATAGAATTCCAACATATTATCTTGAATTTATTTATTCAAATCGGTGAAAGCAGAATGCTTACAGATTATCATAACATAATTTATGTAATTTCAGTGCATATACAATGCTTACAGATTATCATAAGATACTTTTTGTATCTCCAGTGCATATTAAATGCTCACAGATTATCATCAACATCGCCGAACGGTACACTATCACATTATTTCGATATAGTACATCTTGGTGACTTCGCCTTCCCCGACCCAAGAGTCTCGGACTCAAGAGACAGATCAATGTCAACAAGTTCGCCTTTGTCAAAAGTGATGAGACCATCGGGCTGAGATCTGAACACCAAAGGGTTGATGGTGTTTTGTTCTAATGAGCCGTTTAGAATGACTTCCTTGTTAAATATCAGTTCTATTTGGTAGCTGTCTCCATAGATGAAGGTCTGGATGTTAATTGCATAATCTTCCATGAACAAATGAAGCATTGCTTGCCCTTCCGATCCAGTGAAGTTATTGGTTGTGTTGTCAAAATCTATAAATCATAAGAAGCAATGAATGTTACATTACTCGCGGAAAAGATGTGACTCGTAGGGTTTAATCGTTCGAGCCAAATAATGCCGTTTTATATCAATTCATTACAAAGTCTCGAGACAGGAAGGGGAACGAAATTCAAATTTAGTATCCAAAACTGGCTCACATGGGAAATGCTTTCCGGATCATCCATTGGTCGATTGGCCTACGTTGGGGATGAGGTTTAAATATTGGGGTTGAGGCTTCAACGTTGGGGTTGAGGTTTAAATGTTGGGGTTGAAGTTTAAAGTGCAATTATCATGGGTATATAAACAGATTTTGGCAGATCGTAACATAGCTTATGCAAATATCGTAATCAAAACATCGAAAGCAGCGCGTAAATAAGATCTATTTCGCTATTTGTCCAGTGTATCAATGGCAAAGACTGAATCGAAAACACAGCGGAGGCGGAGCCTTTATATACAGAGGTTGAAAATATGGTCGTGCTGGAGGAAATAATCTTCAAAATTACACACTTGATAGCACAAGTGTTGTTTAACATTTCTGTTTGTATTAACATCATTTCACATATTTACTGTACAAATACATTTTCCTAATCGGATAGGATTTCCCGTTTCCAGTAACCTTTTCTTGTACGAGGCTAGTAAATGGATCGGTTGGTCAGGCTCAGTGACCTGGTTCATATTGGTCAACGTATCCCGACGGCGTGATAATTTGCTCATGATATCAATCACTGGTTTTCGTAAGCAAACAAAATTATACTTTCATACTTACGGCTGACAAAACTTCCGACTTTCCACAGCACGATAGGTTGGTGTTCCGCTTCATAACTCACTGTGATGTGTCGTATGCTCCCCTCAGCGGACATCCGGACATCGGTCACTACCGGGACACTTCTACAAACAGACGCCTGGGGGTGACGAAGAAAATTCAGTGAGTCTTGTTTTACGTCGCATTAAACAATATTCAAACAGTTCAACGACAAGGGACATCAGGAAAAGGCGAAAGTTTTAATCACAACACTACGCCGGAGTCTTTTTGAAAAAACAAACCCCAACGAATTAAGTCATCAATCTCAAGGCACTTTAGTAAATTGTTATGTTTGAATAACGTTAAGTCGAAACAATTTGGACTGTGAACCGAAACGGAAATATGACGTTAAAACCATTGCACCAGCCACACTATAGCAAATATGTTCTCACTCTCATTCTCAACACAAACCTAAACACGTCCTTGCCCCATAATTAAAACACCTTACCTTTCCTTAATATGTTTAACGCATTAGTAATCACAGCCCGAGGAAACACATGATACAATCACTGTCAAGTAAGGGCATTCCAGCCAAACCAATTTATGCAATAACATTGATAGATAGATATTCTTTATTTCCTCCATTTGAATGAAGATTACAATTTGCAGATATGATTATGTTACATGTTTAACATGAATTGGGGGTTTACACATGTGCATAAACATACACGTTATCGCCCTTTCCTTATAAAGCGGCTTACATTAATTAAAACTTCTGCCAACACATCTCTTTCTAGTTCCATAATACATTCTATTGGACATCCACCAAGTAAAAACACAAGAATAACATCATCATCTTTCTCCAAAATCTTAACAAAAAATGTACATCCAGGATATCACATATGGTGTTAAAAAGTAGATTTCGGTCATTCATATTGATCGTTCAGGACATAAACACGTGCTTTACAATATCATTGGCAACAGTTTTACAACAGCATTCTGTAGAGAAAATTTCAGCTGATCCATAGAATACAAGCCTTGCAATATTAGTTAAATGGTCATACTTCTCCACGGCCAGTTTCCAGAGATAGTGTTCATTACTTGATCTTATTCGTGACAGACTGAGTCTTGAATTAAGATGGACATATTATACATCATCTCGATGAGATTTAATAGCATCATTCACGGCCTTGGACCAGCATTTCTTATTAATAAATTGACAATTATTGACATAGTTAACAAGTGTATCACTTCTGTACAAGCTGTAGCATATTTTCTACTCCATACATTGCATGTAAAACTATCTGTACACATAAATTGACCCAGGCGAACTAGAAACAGTACTTTAAAAACACAGTTATACTTTGCATAACATAGCTTTCCTAAGACGTCGAGTGCTCTTTTATCTATGTAATACTGTAGTGACATGATGCCGATAGCATCCAATACAACAATACTGGTAGTGCGCCTGTGTAGTCCCTGAACTTTTTTACAAAATTGACGTTGTACAACTTCAAGCATTTCATACTCTTTAAGAGGAAGTTTACCCCATACGCTGCATCCATAGAGGGCACATGATAAGATTACCCTCTCCCAGATACATGCTGCAGATAAAGGATTCAGACCACCAAAGTACAACCCATTATTATGGTTAGTGTTGATGAGTACACATTACTTTTCACATGCAGATTTTGTACGTTCAAGTGATGATTTATCTGTACTAAGATATACACCTGCATATTTAATAGATTTCGTTTGTGGAACATGCATATCGCCAATTGATACATAAGTGGTTTGAACCTTATTGTTTGGGCATCCAAAGTATAGAAGTGCACTCTTGCTTACATTATATTTTAGCTGCCACATATGAGCATAGTTTGCAGGCTTTTAAAAAAATAAATATGGAACGCTTCACGAATTTGCGTGCAAACGCTGCATAAACACTCTGGCCCGGCTCTGTCAGTTTGAGGTCCAGGCCACGCTACATTCCATTGTTTACGTTTTGAAAAAAAAAAAAATGTAATTCATATGCTCATGAGAAAGAATCTCTCAAATATACCTTATTTGTTGTAGAATCAGTTTACATAGATAAGTTGTTGAGAATGTGCCGACCGACCAAAGTTTTGGTTTTCTGTTCTCGGTCATCAGAGCTACCGACTTTGAGGCGACTGAGGGCCAAGTCGACCGAGAGAAACTGGCGACCAGTTTGAACTACACGTGTTTGAATTTTGTATTAACAATAATTCTAAGTCATGTTTAATTCATTGTTGTACTATTGTATATAAATCAAAATGTATATGTATCGCCAAAATTCATTATATTGCTTAAATTGTCGATGAATTCATGCTGCTCAAACGAACTATTTCGTATTCGCTGAATCTAAGTGTTGAGTGTAGACTATGTGTGATCATGAAAAATTCAACGAACACGCGTATGAATATTATGAAATGCGACGTCGCCACTGTTATAAGAGTAAACTTGACGATGGGTAACAAAAACAATACACAACTAGTGACGAGGATCATCTGTCCCTTGTGATATTAATGATGAAACAACATTAATTTCACTCGGGACAGGTAATCCGTCATTCCTCGTCAATCGTGTTAAATATTGACTTTAGTCTTAAATGCTAATTTTAGTCTGTGAATTTTCATAATAAGAATGTCTTACCGTCTGTAGGATAAGGAACAACGGGAGAACCAGTTCGAAGCGCACAACCGCCATGTTGAAATGGATTCCTATAGCCTTTAAAGGTCAGCTACTTTGTCTAACATTAACCGGATGTACGTATTTTATACACTCAAGCAGTAATTGCTTAATATATTAATATCCCTACTTGGTAGGATCAAATTATTCTGGGATGGTAACGAGACATAAAAAGACTTTACAAGGACAGTTTTGTCAACATTGAAAGGGGCATTATTTTCTCTGGGATCTCTGTACCAGACAATCTAGACGTTTTTAGCAACCTTTACATACCCTCTTACATACTGGTATGCTGGTAATTAAATCTGAACTCACATCAACGCTGTTCCGGAACGCCTGCAATACGAATGTCAAATTAAAGCGCCTTACTTTAACCGGGCCTCCATGCCCCCAAACGAGTGACAGCACATGTATGTGTCCTTTCCAAATCAAAACTTAATATTTTGTATATGCATACTACATTTCCCGATGACACCTATTTCAACAATAAGCTGTTTTCCTTCATTGCAGAATTACGCCAGTTAGAGACAACTTCACTCCATACACAAACCAAGAAATATGCTCAGATGATGAGGAGATTCAAAACCCCTGCTCAATGCCAGACTATGTGGATATGTCTTTAGGCTGCCACCATCTAACAAACCTTTGAGATGTTCTAAAGCGGCCGCTGCACACAAAAGGTGACCTGATATGACGCCCCAAAAACTTCCCGATTATCCAAGTAATCAAGCAGACCATTACCAACATACATGTACATGTTGGTTGGTTTGTTGTTTTACGCCGCACTCACCAATATTCCAGCTATATGAGGGCGGTCTGTAAATAATCAAGTCTGAGCCACACAATCCAGTGATTAATTTCATGAGCATCGATCCCCGCAATTGGGATACGATGACATGCATCAACCAAGTCAGCGAGCCTGACCACCCGATCCCATCAGTCGCATCTTACGATAAGCATAGTCACCTTTTACGTCATTCTACAATGACCGGTTTGAGTTGGAACGTTTGCTTGACTGAGCAGGACACTCCATATATGAAAAGATGGGTTTACTTTTCTATACTTTTCCATATAATGCCAACATAAAATATATAACAGAAAACAAACATGTATAACAATGTTTCTAATTATTCAAGTGAGTATCTTATGTTTAATTGTTAAATACAATCTCACTGAGATATGTCACTGAGAACTTCAATTTGAATATTCCTATGCCCCCTTGAGTCATAATGCACTCGACCAAGAGCTACTTCCGACGAAGCCAAACAAATGTCGTCTGCGTGTTTATTCGACTGAAAATTTTAAAACATATCTGAAGACTATCTGAAGGGAAAGCACTAAGTGCAGATGCATATCAGTGCGCGGTAAAGTGTCCGCCAAACAAGCTGTTTCAGAGGGGATTTATCCTGGTTTGAAACCTCTGAGTGACCAATCAAAATCGAGTATTTTTCAAATTTATGTTAAAATATCTTACCATCAAGTAAAAACCGATTACTTTAACAACTCTTTCGTCACATTAAGGGATCAGCTACAATTCCCACTAATGGAATTTGATATTCAGATTACGTCTCCCTCATTATATTTTTTCAACATATGTCACTTGTTTAGTCACAATACTTAAGCAGCTGCCGATGTGACTATAAGTGACATACCCATTAATTTAGCGCTTGCTGAACTGAACTTCCGGTTTGGTCATTTTAGTCTCTTTTCGCGCATCGCCGTGCAGCGCATTGAAGCAATCAGGTTCATTTGTAAATTTTGTGGAATGGTTGGCATCGTCATTGTTTCTTATACAAATAAGCAATACACAGTTACTTTGATTTGTCCTAATGAAAATAAAGAAATCCAGACAATCGTTTTGAACACTTATTATTACCCATCTGGATTCAGGGTTTTAAAAACCTCATCCTCAACCGCTACGGTCGGAAGAAGCTACCATTTGGATCCCGTCGACAAGCTAGTTGCCTTGGTGTCATCGTGTCAACAGCTCACATACATGAAGCTTGAATATTGTGGAGCAAACAAACAAAACGTTTGAAATAAGACACACTCGCGGTTTATGATGAATATTTATGTGACATCCGAGGAGTTGAGGCGTTTCAGGTGCGTTCGCTTCTAATTACTTTTCCAACAGAAAAGTCAAATAGATGCACTCGAAGGGCATCGAAGAGTTACACTTGGGGCCAAGGATCATTCTATTCAAGCGTACATGTTATTAGAACATGTTCATCTCGGAATTATTTGCTACCAGCTTTTAAGATATTTGTTAAAATATTGTCCCCCGCCACAAAGTGGATTGGGTGCTTTCGGTCCGTCACGTTTCGTTTCCGGAGCAGAACTAAAACAACCATGACACTATCTTTACCAAACATGGCGCACAGATACATGTAGCTCTAGTTGGACTGGTGCTTTTGATAGTTTTGAATGTTTGAAAAAAATATTTTTCGTGTTTCAAATGCAACGACTTTGACTTAGACTGAAAGTGGCGGTAGTACTCGTTTCCGGCGCAGGTCTTAAAAACCGTACTATATTTCTTGCCTTGCAGACAACCGGGCATGTAATATTGGCGGGTGATATGAGTATTTTATGCTTGTTACTTTTGCACCTTGTTAAGGAAGAACAACAGAATACAATCATAAAAAGTGAATATTCTCACGCGTTGACGTTTTGAATTTACTCGTCACAACAAAAGCCTTGGATCGATCGTTTCCCTTCGTGCGCAATAGGGAAGCTCTTTTGTGTGTTCTCTCTTTAATGAGCACAAAAACCTTCTAACCTATTGTGTAAACTTCAGAGACATCCAAGATCAGTGACAGTTCAAACGTTCAAAGACGGAGTCTGCGTCATATTACAAATTAGGAATAACACATTTGTAAACAACGATTGATATCGTACACGTAAAAGACAACGCTCGCATTTAATAATGAATATTAATGTGATCGTACTCCCTTGCCGCCGTCGTCAATCCAGATGATAAACATTCAAGTAATTCCAGGTGTGTTGTCCCGTCCTTAGATGTTTTATTTTGTTTGTTGCTAAACGCCGCACACAGCAATATTCGAGCTATATGGCGGCAATCTGTAAACAATGGAGCCTGGATGAGACAATAATCCAGTGATTGAAATCATGAACATCGATATACGCAATTGGGAGGAGCGATTTTTAAGTTCAGTCTCATATAGTTGCATAATATTTCACAGGTTTTGATATGGACTTGATGTAATCTCATAGAGATATACCCACAAAACATTCACTCAACTGAGTAAATGTGTAAAATAAACAGGGGTCTGTGACCTGAAAAATAGACAAACATGGGGAAGGTGCAGCGAAAACACACAATAGCCATGATCCATCATGACATGAGTATATCAGCAGTGAAGGCATCTTCCCGAGGCAAGCGTGTCCACTAGCCCATTTCAAAGCCTAGTTTCTACCCTTGCCACATCAAGGCCATTCTTGGCCCGACCCTGGCGCCCACCCCGCGTAGATCACGAATTGTGCCCCTTGACATGCAAATGCGATATCCTGTCAGATCACTGTTCTTATCGCGTATAGCTTCACAAAATGGCGAAGACCTAGTCGATCGGGTAACGATAACATTCGCGATAACATCCCTGACACAAAAAACATAGGCAATCGTTGTGGTGTTTAAAAGATGAAATACATATACTGAACAACAAAAGTTTCTGTGAAATTGAATAAGATTTAATTCAAAGTTATGTTTTTTACCAATTCTGAAACAAATTTCAGTTTGCAACAGATAAAAGACTCCCGGGAGTGTTCAAATGATTGAATTTGCCATACTGACTTCAGAAAATGCGTGATTTCATAAAAAACCACAAACATGCCAAAATGTCAATTTACAAATCAATAGCGTCTGTGCCCACCCCTGGTTGCGATGCAAGCAACACATCTTCGTTTCCTGGAATGGACGAGGCGCCGCACAAAGTACTGTGGGATATCTGTCCATATCTGCTGGAGCATGTTTCGAAGTTCCTGGAGCGTCTGTGGAACACGTGGTTGACGTCGAAGGCGCCGGTCCATCTCATCCAAACATGTGCTCGATTGGTGAGAGATCAGGGGAGCGAGCCGGACAAGGGATGACATTCACGTTGTTTTGTTGAAGAGAATCCTGAACAAGTCGAGCAGTTTGAAGCCGGGCGTTGTCATGTTGAAAGGTAATGCCTTGGCCACGATGACGCAAAAACGGTAGAACAACAGGGCCGATGATCTTGTCGCGCTAGCGCTGTCCATTGAGATTTCCCTCTACCACTATCAAACGGGTCCTCTGTCTTGCTGTAATCCCACCTCATATCATAACGCCCCCAAACCGTCCTTCTTCCATGACACAATGATTGACGTAACGTTCACCTCGACGTCGGTACACTCGAATCCGTCCATAGCTGTGGAAACAGGTGAAAACGAGACTCGTCAGTGAATAGAGCTGCAAGGCCGTCCAGCGTAGACGCTGTCTGCACCACTGTACACGTACTTGATGGTGGTTTCCTGTCAAAATGGAACGTCTGGCGACAATCCCTGCACATCTGAGGCGACGACGTACGGTTTGTGAGGATATTCGTCGAAGGCAAGGGATGCTTCTTGCAGTCACTGTTGCTGGCTGGAATCGATTTTGTAGGTGTGTTGTTCGAATCCAGTTGTCTTGTTGGTTATTGGTTACGCGTGGCCTGCCACTCCAAAGATGGTCACTGACTGCATTCGTCTGTTGCCAACGTTGCCATAAACACCAAATGGTGTACTGTCAGATGTTTTCAAGATCTTTTCATGTTTGTAATCAAGCAGCTCAGGTGATTTCATTTACTTCGCGAGGTAAGACCTATTACATTACCATAGAGATCTTGATCAGATCGTCTTTTGTTTGAAGCAAATGCAAGTGATATGAGAGGTGGATTCTGATTGATCAGTAGGAGGGACATAGAAGGGACATAACACGTAATTACCATTGGTGGTGAACCACGAAATTCCAGCGTAGTTCGTAGTTCGGCAAGGGTGGAAAATGGGCTTGTGCAGTCAGTTAACTCCTTTGCCCCGGGAAGATGCATGGGTCACTCGGGTGATTTTCACCTCGGAATTCCATTTTTGTTATAGGCTTGAAATTAATTTGGTGAGCTGATGTAGCTATTCATGTCATATTTGCTGGAGTAAACCATAAGTTTTGTGTTTCCATCCATTGGATATCCAGTGCAATTAAACGCTGTTCTTGTTGGCACAGGATCGTGGGTGAGGAGCAGGGGCGATGACTAATTCCTTTCACCATGCCGAAAGTATTTGGTTCAAATCAGAATTAAAAAATAGTTTTGAAATAGACCGGTAAAATTTAATTGTTTTTCCAAACGATGATTCCTTGATGCGCTTCCTGGTGGTCAAAGCTTCTGATCATCTACGAAAAAAACCTCAATCAATTTGCCATATCAAAAGTTGTTTCTGGAATTTGTGGTGCAGTGAAAAATTCGCACTTTCTCCTTTCTTGTGGAGTGTTCACGGAAACGGCAATATCGTAATCTGTTAGCGATCACTCAGTTTGTCACTGTTGATCTTGCTGTATCCGTGCAGATGACACTTTACTCTTGTCGACGAATTGTCAGCGTGTTGTCTGTTCGACATGTCGGAATGACATCAAGGTGTAAGTACGTCTATTAAGCGTTACACATTTCTTTTGTTTTTCAATAGTTGGTTTACAAACTATATTGCCTAACATTCAATGAAAACCAAACACGTTGTAACAGAGCAAGACTTTGTTGCAAGAATTATTAAAATAAGACACATATCTTAAACAGACAGATAATCTTTGACTTCTGGAAGTACAATTGTCGCCATTCTTGTCCACCTCCAGATGATAAGGCTACTGGAGGTTCTGCAATATTGGACAAGCAGTGCGTCAACTATAAAACCCTACAAAGAGAGATATAGTGCTGGGTCCAGCAAATGTACCACAAAATCCATGTCTCAAAGACTGACCATGATCATTAATACAAGCAAGGAAGGGCTTTCTTTATATTCACAGAAAGTATTTGAGACAAGTGGAATTAATACCATGTGGATTCTCAAAAACTGGAACCAAGTTCCATTCTGGAGATTTTTTCAACTCTGTACACCACTATCCAAGATGACAAATTTAAGGGATACCATTCATTCCTTGATCAATGGGGCTTTTGTTACAAAACGTGGTGTACACATATACAGCTACGTATCTATATTCTGACGTTCAGAACAATTTGTGAAAAATGAAAGCAAATGCCATGTTACGTTTACTGAGAAAAGAATATGTAAAATCCTTGACTTCCACATTGATAACTAGACCGCCTCCGTGGTCTAATGGTAGAGCGTCCGCCCAGAGAGCGGAAGGTCCGGGGTTCGATCCCTGACCGCGTCATACCAAAAGACGTTAAACGTTATTACCCTGTCTGGCGCTCGGCATTAGGGGGCTACAACAAGGACTCGTCGGCTCGGAGTCAGTATACTGTGTCTGAGTCGGGTTTTTATGTTAAACTGCGGCATGGTATTTCAGTGAGCTAGCACTATTAATCGGCATCACTCCGAAATAGTACAAGCAGCCACACACATAAATACACGTGCATGCTATATAAGTGCAATAATCTTGGACGCGACGTTAAACTCCATTTCACCTCACCTCACATTGATAACATCTACGTACATTTTGGGGTCAAACGCCCCTCAGATGGTTATCTTGAAACCGATGTATATCACATGTCCAGTTCACGTTGATCACAGATCAGAGTCTGTGATTCGTCTATAAAATCTAAGACAAGAATGTTATGTCAAAGTCTAGTAGTTAGGATGTACTCTATGTTCCCGTGTATTTACCTGATAAACACTTGAGTTGCCTTTCCATGTGTTTGTGACGGGTGCCACCGGTGGGGAAGGATACGCTCACCTTTTCGCGAACACCTGGTCGTCGGCTGACATACATGTACATGTATATAACTCAAAGTTCGATCTCACAGTAACCAAGCTCAATCGCCAAAAGGAAACTGTACCTGAGATAATGTTCTATTGTTGGCGGTGCCCGTCGGCTTCTACGACCCGCGTCACATTAAGATTTCCTCCTACATCAAACTAACACACGGTGATATAAGCTGAAATATCGTTTGAGTGTTGTTAAAGCCATCTCACCGATACAGCGTACGACACGATACACTCACTCATCGCACTCTAATTACAGGAATACGCCTGCAAACATCTTTGTGTACTGTTACAGTATGTCATCGTCACGGAATGACGAACGATTGATTCTGTACCATAATCGCAAACTCAATATATGATTGATTTATTAGTAACATCAAACTTAAGTCATTGATCTGTTTTATTAAGCAATGAGCGATTAATCAACAGGTTTGCATATACTGTTTATAAAAGTGGTAATTTTATGAATTATATAATAAAACAAACTACCTCCTTAGTGCATGTAACATATTGACCACATTCTCGCTATGGTAACCATACGGGAGCGTCACGGGGAATCGGAGCATCAGTGCACACCAGTCTCCAGCACCGTTGACACGTTAAGCACAGGTGTTCAACAGATCTGAGCGAGTGCAGAATGGCTTTCTATTCTCAGTACAAAATGATGTGGGATAAAATCAAAATGAAGACCATCATGTTAATGTTGATGTTTTCATGTGTGTCATCAGATTGGCTGTCAGAGATAGGTGGAGAGCAAGACAGAGTTTTACCCGGACATGTTTTTCAGGTATTTCAGACAGCAACAGTTCGACAGTGTCACCGACTCTGTGGATATTCAGCAAGGTGCTTTTCGGCCAACTGGATCTTGTCAACTAGAGAGTGTCAACTTAGTACCAGTGCTTTAGGTGGCGGTAGTTTACAAGTGTCCGCGAACAACGTGTACCTTCCGGTTCATCAATTTCCTCCACAGGTAGGCAGTTTCCATATGAATGCGTGAATGTTGAATCATGACAGTTCAATAGGGTAACAGATACCCTAGTTGACTAATGATCATTAGGCTGTGAACTCATTTGCCCACCCTGAACCATGAATTCCGAATACTACTTAACACAACCCCAAAATCATATGTAAGAATTGAATGTACAAAGGCAGAATGTCAGCCACAGTCCAAAACCTATAGAACACGTTCCTTGGTCATAGAAGGAAGACATTTGAAATTAAAATTACTGAAAAATATCGACAACAATATATAAGGTATAGAATCATTTTTTTAAAATGTTGAATCTGCATAGTTACCAAATACGAATGTATTTGCCTTCCGTGTATCACACTGCAGAGTTACCTCTAAATGGACTCCCGAATCCGGCGTATAATTATTTGAAGGTGGGTGTGAATCCCACATTTGCCCTGATGTTGATTCATGGTGTGACAGTACTATACCTGTAAACTGCTCACATCAGGTTTTCCTCCATATTACACTGGACCCGTGAAGTTCCGGGGTAGAATAGGTTTTCAGCAACCCGTGCTTGCCGTAAAAGGCGACTAAGCTTGTTGTGGGAGGCGATTAACAGGATCGGTCGGTCAGGCTCGCTGACTTGGTTAAAGCATGTCATCGATCCCAATTGCTTGGATAGATGCTCAGGATGTCAATCACTGGATTGTCTGGTCTAGACTCGATTATTTACAGACCGCGGTCTTATAGCTGGACTTAATGCGGCGTTAAACAACCAACCAACCATATTACACTCGTGATGTAAGCGACATTTCGCTCAACTTATTCACTCACTCTTCCAATTTATCGCGATTCAAAATGGTCAACCCACAATATCTCAAATTCAATCGGGCCTCAGTCTGGCACACTATGTAGGAGATAGTAATCCCTACGTAGGACATAGTACGTCCTACGTAGGAGATACTAAGTACTAAGTAGGAGATATTAAGTCCTACGTAGGAGATAGTGATTCTAGGCCATACTAAGTCCTACGTAGGAGATAGTGATCCCTATGTAGGAGATAGTAAGTCCTACGTAGGACATAGTAAGTCCTACGTAGGAGATACTTAGTCCTACGTAGGAGATAGTTTGTCCTACGTAGGAGATACTCAGTCCTACAAAGAAGATAATAAGTCCTACGTATGAGATACTTAGACCCATAAAAATGTCACCGTGGTCCTACTACGCTTCCGTACTAACCTGAGTTGGAAGGTTTTTGTATCTATACTGTTGCATCACACTAAAAATGTTATTATCATGACCGACTATTTAGTATTCTTAGGAGAATTGTAGGAGACAAAAACACAACTGGGAAAGGAGGAGCGGCGTTTGTTAAACATTACTTTTGAAGGAAATCCAGCATGTTGGTGTTTCACGCCAGAAACCTACGATTGTGGGTTCCAATCCCGCCTTGTGGGTTTCACCAACCAGGTAAGCATATGAGATCTGCATCACTTCGGGCTTTCCTCCTAACAAATAGTGATGGTACCATGTGCCCGCGAAAACATATTATGCCAAATGATTTTTAAACTAGAAAAGAAAACTACTTAAATATAGTTCACAAATATGTCACCACGGCCAAAAGACATAAAATGTGCATGAAGCATAACGGTTGTACTTTTCAACAATAGTGCTCCTAACCTTGTTATAGATTAATAATATACCAACAGTGGATGTTTGCTATTTTATAGATTTATTCTTCAAAACATACGAAGTTAAACGTATAATGAAGTAGTCCCTATCAGCCAATCAAACATCTAGAATGACCGAAAGAAAAGTTGATAGTATGTGCGCACTGCAAAGGTGTGGTAAAACATACACGCATGAACCTCATTAACACCAGGCGTTGTGTAGGATTAAGCAGTGACTGGTTAAGCTTTTTCTTATATGTCATGCCTTCTACACACGTAGGAATATAATCGATATTTGATGTGGCATACAAACGCTGTAACCATTGTTCAACCACACCAGACGCCATTACCCGAACTTGTCAAATAATCCAAAATCAACTTTTGGTATTAGTCTGCTTATTTTTTACTCATCTTGGAGCTGGGGCTGGGCTAGGATTTTATCGCAAAATATATATTGTGCTTCAGACATTTAAAACAAACCCTATATTGTCGCAAAGTGGTTTTCCTAAAACAAACCATGTCAAGCCATATATTTTATCGAAATGGAGAAGCGATATTTTAGCTTGTTCGATAGGTAATCGCTAAAACTGTGTTAAAAAACTTTATTCTCTCAGCAAACATCTCTGTCCCCAAGAGCGATTTCTTTAAGATACATACATGTAACTACATATTAAAATCATCCTGTTCAAACAAGCCGTTTGCATTGTATCCCCTGAGAACAAAGAACTTGTACATTAGGTGAATCCCCACCTTTTGCCGACAATTCCAGCATATTTCGCTGCGAGGTATTCAAAGAAGACAGCAATTTGCACATATCTAAGAAGTACTTATGTTCCCTTTCCAACGCATATTTTGTATCCAATTTGAAATAAGGGACAAAACCCCTTCCATATTCAATAGAAATCACGAGAACATATGGTACAAGTCAAAATAAGGAATTACATTGAACATAATTTTTGTCACTGATGCGTCAAATTTGGAAATGTCTACCATAAAAGGTTTTGAAAGCTTCACTGAGGCCTTAAATGTTGTAACCTTGATGAAACAACTTCTGAGCAAGAGTCGTATGGTGCTCTTTGAAATCTTGTTGGAAAGAGCATGCTCGATTGAATCTCAAAAGCTGTGAAATTTGAACTTCAAAGGCTGGAGCTGCTCGACATGAATGGTAAGTTGACTATAGGAAAGTTGAAGACGTCCCTCTTGTCATACAGTCTTGTGGAGAGTGTTTTGTCACTCTGAATCTTTATGCATAGATCTGAATGTGAAACAGATGTTTGTTTGTTTGTTGTTTAACGCCTCACTCAGCAAAATTAGACGGTCTCACTGGTCTCCTTTATTTCTAGTTCAGGTGGGTGAATCAGTGGAAGGGAATTGGCTATTTGATTGTTATTGAACGATATCACATCATCTTAATTTACACTTCTTGGCCAAATTACTTTGTTTTGACTTTGGCAATCCGAACAGAAATTAAGATTCATATGTATAAAGAACCAGATCCGCAGGAAGGGGGCCACAATTGGTGCCAATGGCACGTAGTTATCAATATTGTTTTCTCAGTAAACTTCAGACGACATTTGCTTTCATTTTTCACAAATTGTCCTGAACATCTGAATATGGGCACGCAACTGTATCTGTGTTCACCACAATTTGTAACAAAAGCCCCATTGATCAAGGAATGAATTGTATCCCTTAAATTTGTCATCTGAGATAGTTGTGTACAAAGTTGAAAAATCAAATGTTTTGACAGAATGGGACTTGGTTCTTTTCTGAGATTGCAAAAAGTTGAGTTTTTGAGAATCCACATGGTATTAATTCCACTTGTCTCAAATACTTTCTGTGAATATAAAGAAAGTCCTTCCTTGGTTGTATTAATGATTATTGTCAGTCTTTGACATATGGATTTGGTGGTACATTTACTGGACCCAGCAATATACATGTATCTATCTCTTTATGGCTTTATAGCTGACGCCCTGCTTGTCCATGAATCAAGGAATAAATTATTTTCTTAAGTTTGTTATGGGGGATAGGGGTGTACAGAGTTGAAAATTCAAATGTTTTGACAGAATGGAACTTGTCTCTTTCTGAGATTGCAAAAAGTCAAACAAATCCTTTGAGTTTTTTGAGAATCCACATAATATTTATTCCACTCTCTGTTCATATAAAGAAAGTCCTGCCTTGACTGTATTAAGGATTATGGTTACTCTTTGAGACTGGGATTTGGTGGTACATTTGCTAGACCCAGCAACATATCTCTCTTTGTACGGATTTTTTTAGAGCTTTGGAATCCAGTACAAAAGAGGAATGGACAAATAAAATCTTTATGTTAGTTAATATGAATTATAAACTCGAAAATACGATCTACGAAGTGTTGCCATCTTGTTATCACTATTATATATGAAATATGTACTATTCTCTTATACCACAAGCGGTGTTTTATGGAGAAGTAGCAAGTTGTGAAGTCATCTAAAGTTTAATAAACGAATAAATAGGTAATAACAAAAAAGAATTACCTGGAATGTCTTCTCAGCATTACTTTCAACAGGTATTGATTCATTTAGCGAAAGAATGCAAGACAATGTCAATAACCAGTGAGCATTCAGATCAATAGCCACACTAAATGACTTCATTAAGATCAGGTTATTCCAAACAAATAATGATCGATCTGTGCCAAATCTAACTGTTTACATGTTAGGTATAAACACTTTTCGGTGAACAGTTTAACAGGTCCATAGTTACAAGTAACTTGCTCCAAGACATTAAGTCAATAGAGGACAGTTGGTACTTCATAATTATAATTAGAGTGTAGACACACATTGTTGGTGTTAGGAGTATAGCTAAATTGAACCTATGCTTTTTCCAGAAGTTGATCTAAATAGGTACTGGTTAATAGTCATGGTTAAATGTAACGAGAAGGTCACAGTTGAACCCTTTTGTACTTTACTCTTCAACAGACATATTTCCAGATCATAATTGGGAAAAATAAAAAGGTTTAGAGAAGTAGAATGTCCATCACACTGTGATGGTGGCACAACTTACGCTGGGTCAGAAATGCAGTAGTGGTCTCGTTGTGAAATTTTAACTGCAGATTCAATTTTTTCTGAAAGTTTACAATTGCAAATAAAAGTTGTATACATTTGTGTTTTGTTTTGTTTGTTTGTTGTTTAACGCCGCACTCAAACATGCGGCCTTGCAGTTTGTAAAAAACGCATATTGTGTTTTCAAGAATTTGACTGCTCTCGTTCCTCGGGTCCGCACTCCGTTTTTTCTGGAACATCACGAAGTGTTTGGACACCTAGACTTCTCACAAATATTGTCTTAATAGTCTTCGTGCACGTTTCAGCACTTCGGTCCATAAATTGTTTTTTATCGGATTACTCGAGATGATTTACTGCAAGTAATTGGGGAATTTGAGGAAATGGCAGTATGGGGACAATTTCTGCTTTTCTAAGTTTTTCCAAACATCTAAATATTTATTTCAGTTGCTCTATGAACTTTATTCTTAGTCAGTTGTTTTAGTTCACGATAGAAAAGAAACATTTTAAATTTTATTTTTAAAAAAATCTTCCCAGACTCACCCATGCGCAGATGAACCCTGTGGAAATGACCATGTGTGTGTCCCTGTCACCAAATCTACCAACTATGTATGTGTACACGTCGACACAAATACAAACCAAGCACCTGCGACTGGAATAACGACCGGTACTGCACCTACTGCTGCAACAACTTCTGTACAGGATACAACACCGGCGTTGACAACAACACTGGCACCGACAACAACACCCTTACCAACTACAACGGCAGCTCCATCTACTACAACATCTGCACCAACTACAACAGCATCATCAACTACCACAACACCTGCATCAACTACAACACCCGTCCCAGCTACAATTCCAGCTCCGACTACAACACCTACACCAACGACAGCACCAACACCGACTACCACTATATCTGTACCAACTACAACAGCAGCACCAACTACTACAACACCTACACCAACTACAACAGCAGCACCAACTACTACAACATCCGCTCCAACTACAACACAAGCTCCGACTACAACACCTACATCAACGACAACACCAGCACCGACTACCACGATATCTGTACCAACTACAACAGCATCACCAACTACTGCAACAACTGCTCCAACCACAACAGCAGCACCAACTACAACATCCGCCCCAACTACAACACCAGCTCCGACTACAACACCTACACCAACGACGACACCAGTACCCACTACCACAACAGCTGTGCAAACAACAACTACACCAACAGCTACTACCCGTAAGTACACAAGAGTAATACCTTGAAATAGGTTCCATAGGCACTAGGTTATTAGGTGCTCTGGGCTGTTGCCGGTCATGTCGGGAAGACAAATGACTTCCGTGGGCATTCCGGAGCAGACGAAATCCCAGCAGCTTGAACTAGCCTAGGATTCAAGACATTGACATCGTAGAGTGTTTTAAGACAATTACTAGTGTCCCCCGCAGTGATATGTCTCGAATGGTCTTGAGCATGGCAGAAACCTCTACACTCTTACTCGTTATCACTTGTGACTTTGTTCATTCTATGTCATTATGCCATCACACAATGGTTTGCCTTGACTTGATGTTTCCAAGGCAATCATAATTTAGCTGAATAGGGAAGACTACAGCAAAAGAAAAAAATGTTTGACTCTACTCTGATCTGCGTCCATGGCGGAAAACATGATGTGATTATATATTGAAGCCCGACTACCCATTCAGTTTGTCACTTGCCAACTTTGTTTCAGGTTTCCCAGCCGTTGAATTGATCCTACCTGCCGAATAAAACTGCAACTTTATTACCTCATGTTCCTAAACCTTTGTCTCATCTGGAATGTACAGCAATTATGTCGTAAAGAAACTTCTTTCTTTTATCTGATATTTTCATTTAAATTGTTCGAGGCAATGAAGTGCGGCTGTTAAGCAGGACGTACGAAACCCTTGGCTTAATAACTGTTCTTTTCACCCAGATGATGGCACGTGCGTTGATAACAGTGACTGCAGTTCCCTTCCCTTCACAGAGTGTTCAAACAGCCTCTGCGTATGCACCGTGGGAAGTGACATGGATGATGCCACTGGCATGTGCAGATCATTAGCAGGTATATTGACACATCTTTTGATAGTAAGAGAGCATCATCAGTGTTACTATCGCTTCAGTAGAATATTGAAATGATTAGGTAAATATTGAACACTTTGACATTCTAAAGATAATATGACACTGATTGCTGTCGAAACTATACTGAACGGCAAAAGAAACGTCACCATGGATAGATATATGAGAAACCTTATTTGTCCAAACACTGTAAACATACTTTGAGACATATTAAAAAGAGGAAACTTGGCAAAACTGATCATCAAGGTTGAAATTAAAGTGTCAAATGTTCTTAAAGTGAAACACAACACTAGTCTCTGAGAAATGGCATCACAAGTCAGTGTCCCGTGTGTCCGCGATGTGCATTGATGACAGCCGTGCAACGTTGATACATGGAATGGAGGAGGCGGTTGGTGAAGGCCATGGACACTTGAGCCCACACTCTGAGGAACGTCATTCAGCTGTCTTTGAATCTCGTCCCACAGGTGCTCAATGGGATTTAAAACAGGACTGAGGGCAGTCCATGGCGTGGTTCTAATGCCATTCTGCTGGAGGAAGTCTCTTGTTGCTCTCGCAGTGTGGGCACGAGCGTTATCATGCTGAAACGACGTGCCAATTGAGCTATGGCGTGTTGTCTCAAGACTTGATCAATGTACCGAGCTGCTGTGACACCACTGTCCCTCTCTGGACCGATGTACTGGAGACCACAGGGCCGACCTTGTGTGCAAGACCAATTCCACCCTACACCATGATGCTCGGACCACCCTACGAGTCTCTCTCAACAACACACGCATCTGAATAACGTTCCCCACTGCGTCGCCAGAGAACGCTTCTTCACTGCTGGTGGTACCAATGTGGGTGCTGTGTTGCCCGCTGAAGACGCTCCCGGCGATGAGGTGGTGTCAGAATTGATCCTCGGTGTGGCCTGTGACAGTGGAGGTGTCTGCTCGTCAATCGTCGACGTACGGTGTCCCCAATAATGTGTCGCTGGTGCGTCCCCGTGGTCTGTCAAGCAGTTTCCGCAGCAATAACAAGGCGATCTTGAAGGTGCTGAAGAGCCTGTATATGGTCCTAACGTGGACTTGAAATCCATTGGCTAATTGCCGGGCAGTTTGTCCAGTTCGCAATCGTCCAAGGGCTTGGTGTCGCTCATTTCATCACTCTTGGCATGTGGTAGCAATTCAATAACGAATGAATGTCCGATCTGGGTGGATTTTTATAGGGCAAGAAATGAAGGAACGCATGTGCATTTCAATTTGCACGGAACTCACGTACATCGGGTTACCGTGGCCGTTGCCGTGATGCGTTTGGGCGATCCGTGTTGTTGTCATCATAATTTTAATCATCAAATTTCATTTTACCGGACAAGGTAATGTTAAATTTTAGAAACTTTGACAAAACTTGCCCAGATATTTAAAAAGGAAAACATTTCATTCAATGTTACTTTGGGTTACGTTTCTTTTCGGGTTCAGTATATTTGACTATTTCATAAGATTTCTCTCATCAAACTAAAATGGGTCCTAACATGAAACAAACTTAAAAATATCGGTACAGAGAGCATTTGAACCTAATTGAGGTCCTCCTTAAAGCGTTTCTGCCTGTGAAGATCCAGGTTAAAATTTGTTTCCAGCAGCTCATGCCAATAAACAAGATCGATTCTCATGATGTCAACACTGGAACGATTAAATTGATTAGTTACAGACTCACGTCACATATCTAGAATACATATGTATTTCTAATTGCGGCGTGAAAGAACAAACAAACAAGTTAAGCGTTTCACAATAGATATGGCAATGTATCATCTATATCCTGTCCAGGCTTGATAATATATATCTTCAAATAACTTGAAACAGGTTATGTTGAGCCTAGTTCAGCTGTTCAGTGGCGCCTGGAAAGCAGTTGAAAAGAAATACACGAACGCTTCTTGTTTGCATGTCAGGTAGCTTGGTCCTCTCTCGAACTGTCCCATACGTGAAGACTAGAGGTTTACACTTTACCCCTTGTGGAATTAGTAGCCATTGCAGTTTCTTAAGTAACGGTGAAATGTAATTTTGTAATTTGGTCCTTATAATTCTTGCTGCTCTGTTTTGTATTCTTTTGACATGGTTGATTGAGCAGGAACCATTTAGCAATGAATTACAATAATTCAGGCTTGATGAAACATACGAGTGGATCAATAGCTTAGTGGTTTCTGGGACAAGACACTTTGGAATATTCCCTATATTCCGCATGTGAAAGTAAGCTGCTCATGAGATGATTTGAGTTTGTTGCTTTGATGCATAACTGGCAACAAGTTTTCTCATTGGTGTAAAGTGTGAAAAAGGGAACATTGGATTTGATAGGGACTGAAGATGAACATGTTTAATTTATCAGCTGGTACTCACAGCACCAGTCACCTCCACCGCTTACCACCTTATACCCCGATCCGCCGGTGACACTGGACCTAAGCTAATAACAACGGATGCGCACGTACAATCTCACACAGCAACCACACGTCAAAGTGCACGTCGATTAAAAACATGTAAAAACACAGAGAACATTAATAATCAATTGACTTTCAAAGACAGAATCGATGCATTTATCTTTGTATGTATCTTGAGAATGACGCCAAATACTGTAAAGCAAAAAGGAGATATCTTATAACATATACTTTTTGGTCAGAAACGAAAGTGTTGCATTCTGGAAACATGCAGAAATGTTACCCAAAGAAGTCATAGAATACTCGATTCCGCACCCTCCACATGCAATGAACAGATTGTACTGTGGTTACGTGTTTTCATGTGTAATTCATTTTGCACGATGGATTAATACAACTGTGTTGTAATCATTTCACACAATTGCAGAGTGCTCGTCCTTTGGATCTACCTTCACCACCTTCACGGATACTGTCATCACCGATCATAATCTTCAGACCCATACATCGAAGACGTCAGCACAATGTGAACAATTGTGTCTAGAAGCCTCATTCGTATGTAAATCGTTTGAAATGTATTACAAACTATGTTTATTGCAGGAAGTCTCCTGGTATGATGTTACAGGAAGTGAACGTGGATATAAGAAAAATCTCAATCATAGCCAACGCAGATGTAATTGGTGAGCTACGGTATGAACTTGAGTGCCATTCTATGCTACAGGAGTAACAATCCCAAAGCGCAACAGCTTGTCTATATATCGGTGCTTCTCCAGCACACAGAAGCTGTGCAAGACCTTATGATTTCAATGTATTGTGTCCAGGTTTTGGTGCTGGTATTATAATAATGATTAACCATTTTACTTGGATTTTTTCCGAAGAAAAAAAATTGGTCCAGATATAACAGGGAAAAAATTAATGCATCCTCAATTTTAGCCACAAGCCCGAAAAATCTATTTGCAGGCCATATTGGATGTCCTGTGAAATTAATGTAACTGTGAATACAAATCTTTGAAAAAATTGCTTAGTTCGTGTGTTTTGACGGAAAACTATTACATCCTGAGTCCATTGGGCAGCATAAACAATTTCACTTACACATCACATACATAAAGAAGCGAGATTATGTCAGTCAGTAGAGGTCTGCTTCTCTTCTTGTAACAGCAGGTAACATTTAGGAGATAAACATACTGTGTGTTCAATGTAGAGCTAGGTTACCTGTAGATTTTACCCCGCTAAATTGAATTTGGAACCGAACGCGCAGCGTGAGGTTTCAAATGTTTAATTTAGCGCGGTTAAATCTACAAGTAACCTACATGTAGCTCTACAATGAAAACACAATGGGTTTATCTCCATTCTACCATGACTAAAAAACGCGGGCTCTTTGGTGTTAGCAAATATATTGAGTGAAGCGGCATGGGTTGACTCCAGTGTTTTGAGTGGGTTATCGATCTGAATTACCGAATCACCGAACAAAATATGGTGCTGTATATACTGAAGCAGTTTGTTTATACCGTTATACTTGACTCGAACATATGACAGGCATTGAACGCATATAAGCACGGCAACTTGGAAAGCTAACATGAGGTGGGCATCCTTAAAGAAAACAAAGCAAGCTTTGCAAGGCTTTCGCTCTACATCGCGCATCACCACTATGACGTCATATCGCTCATTGTGACGCATAAAATATGACGTCACAGTCGTATATAGAAAAGCGCCAAAAGCCCTCTGTTGTCTCCAAAACGTAAATAGATTCCCCTTGTAGATTTCTATCATGTTTTCTGCACGAAATGTATTGCCACGCATCCTTTGAATAGTCTAGTAACCGCTTCTGTGCATTTTGTAACTTGTAATTGTAGATTACTTGTAATCCGTAAGCCGTCAAACCGGCTGTTTCAATTAGCTGTGATTTAACAGCTTCTGCTTGGCCAATCAGAATCGAGTAAATTCCAAATTCATGGCAGAATGAAACGTTGAACTAAAGGAGTTTGATAAGCATCAGCCTCGGAATCCTTTCATAGACATTTTGGTCAAACCCTTGTTTAGCTTTACTGTGTCGACACGCTGACTGTCAGTTCGAATCACTTATTAACATAATACTGTGTGGCCACTTCAATGATTTAGTTTGCAATGTATAACACGTTTGAATTTTGTACCACATGTAAGTATGTACCAGAAATATTTTTTTCACTGTGGTTAATTGATGTATGTCATTACTCTTGTTTTGATTTCCTAATGTCCTGCGTACTGTCGGTGTTGTTTCAAATATCAGACTGTTGTCGGGGGCGCTGCACTTCACTGTACAGAGTTGCGTCCCTTAGACATGCCTGAAACATATGGCCAGCTTCGCCCTGATTATGTTTCTAGGTTTGGCAGCAATATGCCGATGCTTGGTGTTTCAGCATTGCGGTAAACATCTTAGACCCGAATCACTTCGGGCGTTTCTACACACCAAGCTGTGATGCCGTGATGTAAGTGATTATGTAAATCTGTTCACAGCTGTGCCTAACCAACTAACTCACTTACTTCTAATATATTCTTTGTGAATATTGATATCATCTTGGACAGTACTTTGATCTAATGGTCTAATGGTAGAGCGTCCGCCCGGAGAGTGGAAGGTCCGGGGTTCGATCCCCGACCGCGTCATACCAAAAGACGTTAAAAGATGGTACTTGTTGTTACCCTGTCTGGCGCTCACAATTAAAGAGCTAACACAAGGACTGATCGGGTCGGGGTCAGTATACTGTGTCTGAGTGGGGTATTCATGTTAAACTGTGGCATGGTATCTCAGTGAGCTAGCAGTATAAATCGGCATCAGTCCGGACTAGTACAAGCAGCCACACATACACGTACATGCACGTTGCTATATAAGTACAATAATCTTTTACGCGACGTTAAACCTCATTTCACCTCACCTTGACAGTACTTATTTGTACCTACATTTTGTTCACCTTACTTTGTTACTATTACATGTGAAATATGTGTCACGCTGCTAATATTTTCTATGGATGAACACACACTGTTAATATTTACATTTCAATATATGTCAAATTGCTTATACATTTTTTCAGTAGTTGAACACGCCGTTATACTTCATTACTAACACAAAGTGATGTCAATAAAACTCATACAAACTTGCAAACTGTTGTTTTGTTTCGTTATGATACAACTACTAAATGTAAAATGCCGGGGAAAAGAAAGTATACACACATATTTCATCGTGGCTAAAAATTATTATTCGATGGTGATATATTTGAGTAACATGGTTTTCGACCATAAGTTTGCAGTGTTTCGGCAACTTTTTGGTAATATTTCTAATGTGTAAGTCAAATCTCAATTTGAAGTGTATACTTTATTTTGCCTGGCAGTTTGGCAACTGTTCTTATACTGAACTCGGACATTTTCGTTGTTTCCTATACCAATCGAACATAAGAGAATAAAAGCGACAAAACCCTTCCCAAAGTCGAGAGCAAACCTCTTAGGTTTATATTAAAGCAGTGAAATTGGCCTTTAAGCAAGTTGACTGATATTTCGAGGGTAACGTAGGTAACCCAAGGATATACGGATTATGTGTCCCGTGGGAATTAATGTTGAGAGTTCCTTGTGAAATTGATAAATTACAAGAAGCCATAAACATAAAAGACTCCAGCCGTCAATCAACTGTGAACAAGGCTATTACATATCCCCGGCGTACCATGGCCATCAACTCATCAAAGACCCTAATTAGCCATTATCCCGTTGTTTACATTACTGGCTTCATCCTGTGTTTATGTCACTGACTTCACTGATGATTGTCATCACTACCCTTGTGTGTACATAACAGGCTTCTCTACTCCAGTATAACAATATCTACTCTACTGTGTAAACATTGCCTCCTAGTTGTATATATACTTGCCAACCACACTCTGTATATCCGTCAACGGACTCACCTCCCACGGCCATGAACTAAAAACTAAATTTAAACTAAATAAAGGCCCTCACATTGCTTGTATCCAACGATCTATTCGAGGGCCTATCCCCTAAAGTAAACACATCAAAATTCGCGGATGATGGAGCCATCTGGATCCGCACTAAAAGCATGAAAATGGTCCAAAATTTACTCAAAAATATCTTAATAAAATACAACAATGGGCTGACAAATGGGGCTTCTCCCTTAACTCAGAAAAAACAACACATGAAACCCGCCTCCCCAATCCTCCAGCTAAACAACCAAACAATCAAATTTCAAAAACAAACCAAATTCTTAGGACTTATTTTCGATGAACATCTCACCTGGGATGCTCACATCCAAAACCTAACAACTAAATGCAGTAAAGACCTAAACACGCTAAGATGCCTAACTGGCTCTAACTGGGGAGCCTCCAAAGATACCCTCCTCTCTATCTACATATCACTAATTAGATCAAGACTAGACTACGGCTGCGCCATATACAACACCCTAAACAACTCTCTATCTAAAAAACTTGACTCAATACAATATCAGGCTCTCAAACTAATTACACGCACCCAACATGGCACCTCCTTCACCTCACTTCAGGCCTTAACAGGAGAAATGCCACTAAGTCTACGCAGGGAACAGCTAAGCTTAAATTTCTGGGCCGCGTCCCAATCAAACCCTCTCATCCAAAACTTAATAAACCAAAACATCAGCCCCAAAAACCAAGCTCTAGCTCGTAAACACCCCTTACTTACCCCAATATCCCAAAGAATAACAAACTACCTAAATGAACACCAAATTAAAAATCTTAAACAAAACTGCAAACAATCAAATATCTTCACCCCTAAACTTAAAATACCCAAAATAGACACAACACTAGCTAGCCAAATAAATAAACTAACCGACCCAAACATAGCTAAAACTACCACACTAGCATACATACACGAAAATTGGCCAAATTGGTGTCACATTTACACGGACGGATCCTGAGATCCGACCTCCAAACACACAGGTTTCGGAGTCCATACCACACAACCAACTAAAACCACACAATCCTTCCGACTCCCAAACAACCAATCAATATTCACGGCAGAACTAATGGGCATGGCCTCAGCCCTCCATAATCAAGAATCCAAAAACCACAAAAAAAATCCTAATACTTACCGACTCCTTAAGTGGACTGCAAGCCCTCCAAAACAAAAATACCAAAAACCGACCTAAATTAATAAATCAAATACTTAAAAGCTCCAACGACCTAACTAAGGCAGGCAAACAAATAACCTTCTTGTGGATACCCGCCCACGTAGGAATATACGGTAATGAAAACGCCGATAAGGCAGCTAAACTATCCCTCAAAATCCCAGAAATAAGCTTAAACTTACCCATCTCAAAATCAGAAATTAAAAGCGTAAACAAGCAAAATATCACCAAAAATGGCATAACCTATATCTAAACTCAAATAGCCAAATCAAAAAAGTACTCAACAAACCACTAACCAAACCAAAAATTCTCCATTCATAAAAAAAATCGACAGAGTAATCACTAAACTCCAAACAGGACACACCAACCTAAATAACCACCTAAAAAATATAAAAAACCACAGTACAGGTAACTGCCCACACTGCAAACAACCAGAAACCCGAGATCACGCACTCATCCACTGCACACACTACCTAACACATCGAACCGCATTACAAACCACCCTCAATCTAAACAAGGCTCTCACTCTAGAAGCATTGCTAAACCCACAAAATAAACTAGAAAACTTCAAGGCCTTAGGGGTATTCTTTATCAAAACGGAACTAATAAAACGCATCTAAAAACACTATAATCTACCAAATCAAAATCACATAAACAAACAAACATCCACCATACCCAGCTCCCTTAGTTCTCCTCCCCAACCCCATCGGCATCTATTCCAAATCTTAAAATTCCCAAATTCTATATAAGAAACCCCTAAAGCCCCCTCCTGGGTTGCACAGACCACTTTCGCCCCTTTCGGAAACACATAAAATGGCCTGGCCGGGCCCGTGTGCGAAATACGCATCAGTCGGAAAGCGCACGTTAAATCTCCAAAGTAAGTAAGTAAGTAAGTACTCTGTATATCACTTGCTTGATAACGGTGTTAGAACCTACAACGAAACGTCGCTCTTAATTGTAATAAAGAAGTTGTTCATCCATAAATTATTATCTTAACTTATAAATTAATAGATTTGGAGCAGATAATCACCCATAAACTTTATATAACCAACAGTATTTTCTGTGAGAAAATGTAGAAAGATGTCCTCATATAAGGACACTGTTAACCTATTGTTAGAAACGACGTCAACAAAATCGTCATCTTCAATTATTTGCGACAATGCGCTCATATCTCCAAACGTTCCTGTGGTCAACAATGGTTGGTTTGTTGTTTAACGCCGCACTCAGCAATAGTGCAGCTGTATGGAAAAATCGAGTCTGGACCAGACAATCCAGTGATTAACATCATGAATATTGATCCAAACATTTGGGATCGATGAATGCATCAACCAAGTCAGCGAGCCTGACCACCCGATCCCGTTAGTAGCCTTTTACCACAAGCATTGTCGCCTTTTACGGCAAGCATGGGTTGCTGAAGACCTATTCTACCCCGGATCTTCACGGGTCTCATGTACATGTAACTGGTGAG